GAATTTTTGCAAATATACACACCAAAAGTGGCATTTTTGCAATTGTTCCTACTTTTAATTTGCACCCCAAAACATTCCCTAAATAGTTAAGTTATTTTTCCTTATACCCCATTAATTAGTTATGAAATAGTTATTCCAATTGTCAATTAATTCATTTTTTGTAACATTTTCTATTAAAATTTATGATATAAACGGTGCATACAAATAGTTAACGAGCCATTGAAGTGGATAATGAAAAGTAGTATACATAGAATCAAACTCGTAAGCCTTTTTAGGTAAAATATATGTTGAACTATTCATTTTCCGGTTGACATGAGCTAAAGAGCGATGAACCGTTCCTATATGAGCATTCTTGAGGGTGATCTTAGTGGTTGTGGGTAATTTTGTAATCCTCCAACGTATATCATACAAGATATTTGCAATTTCAGTGCTCTCTTTCCACTTATTTATTATCTGCATGATTGGTGAGAAGTTTTCTTCCATACAAATAAAACCTAACCAAGAAAACAACCTAACTCATGATTCAATTGCAGCAAGTGAAAGAGTTCAAACACAGGAAAGGCAAGGACCTAGAGTACTAGACCAAAGAGTATTTCGGTTAATCTAAAGCGTCAAAAAGGGTTTGGATATGCTGCTCTAAACTAATCAGAAATGTAACAATACTGAGAATGCACAAAACAGAGATGTGAAGATGTATGCAATGATAATGGAATGTATCAAGTGTCGGATTAGCAAACGATGAGAATCAACAGATTGCGGCTAACAAAACCGGGGCCTTTAACCATAAAGCTCAACTCTTAAGCATGGGGCACACATATACGTCATCCCACTTTCATGACGCTACTAACCACTATGTCGAGTACAAACTTCTAACGAACTTTCGCTGCTAGACATAAGTACTCTCTAAGCTTAAAGATCAAGCCCCAATAAGCTCACTTAGCTCCTCTACACACTTTCACGGTCAAAGGATCACTAAGCGGAGCAAAAGATCGGTCCGGCGACAAACACCTTTCGGGCAGCGGAATGCCTCAGGACGAGATTCAAGGCCGGAGCCAAGAACCAAGCTTTATCCACAACCTAAGCTCGAGAAACGTAATATGCAGGCCGAGGTTAAGTTAGTCGCTCTAAAACTTCTACATCTACTAACCCGATACTCGACAAGCGGACTACTCACTCATGGCTACGGAAAAAGCCATGATTGAGCTCGAGTGAGGTACGAATGATCTTATGCAAAGACAAGTGCGATTAACAAGTAAAGGCTGAAACTTTAAGCTAAAAACTGAAACTTTATAACGAAAATAACTTAGAACATCAAAGATCTGATGCTCAAAGGGTCGATTACAACTAAAAATAAGTGGAAAGCTTAAAAACGAAAAAGAAAAGAAGAACAAAGAAGACTTAGGTTTTTCAGGGGTTAAGAACATATTTATACCCCTCATAACAGTACTCGGGTCAGCCCGAAACATAAACGGATCATCCAGTTTGAGTCAACGGTCGACCCAGAAAAGTCAACAAAATGCATTAAATATCGGTCACTCCATATCAGGGAAGTGGCCGATTTCCGTTGCGCCTCCAGCGCATCCAGCAGCTCTCGTGTCGCGACACCAGCCCCTCGATGGGCGCAGTATATCGGTCTTCCTCATCGGTGGGTGCCGATATCAAGGGATATCGGTTTCTTCTGCTTATTGTTTAGCCGGTTTGATGAGCCTGGTCTAACGGATGGAGAGTCTTGATGCTCCATCATATCAAGGGGATAACCTGGGACATTTGTGCATAGATTAAGGGGCACTAACATCCAGATTCTCACCCAAGCTATGAAATTTAGTGGGTTTGTTGAGACTCCATCCTTCCACTGTTCCAAGTGCTTCTCACTGACATTCTTTGATGATTCATGACTGATTTCTGCTCCCCTGCTCCATGTTCTTCTCTAGAACCTTGCAATTCCTCTGTGCATCCACTCCTCTGTCCACTACTCCAATCCTCTGGGCTCTAATAAGCCGGATAGCTCCAAATAAGCACAAGTACCACCTGAAAAAAGGTAAAAGAAGAGAAATATGTACAACTCTAACCTAGGACTCTAAAATGCAAATTTGAACTAAATTAGAGCGAAAGAATGCCTATATGATGTGGAATGATGCTAAACAAAGGATAAATGTATGCAAATATGTACACAGATGATGCAAATATATAGATATATCAATGAGTTCCAAATTATCAGTCCCAAACCATACAAATCTCCATCCTTGCATCCAAGTAATTTGTAAAACATGGAGCAATCCCATAGCTTAAGCTTCTAAACTTGAAGAACACGATCTTAGAAGCGAGGAACCAGACATGATATGGTGTCCTTGATGATCTCTTGCATTCCAACCCACTGCCGTAAACATATGATTAACTTTGAAACTACTATCAAAGTTAAGCTTAATCCAACCTTCAAGTGGAGGATCCCAAGTACTACTTCTTGGTCTTGTGTTGATGCTATCTCTATTGCAAAACTCAGTTTGTGATGCAATTCATTCCGTCACTCCATTAAAACTTTGAATGGT